TACATAGGCCCATACATATAGCCTATAGCATGTGGATGCCAATTTATCCCAGTATTCTAAAGTGTTTTTTTTCTCTTTTTTTGGAAAACAAATAAAGAAATTTAGCTTTTTATTAGTCATTACATTATAGCTGTGTTATACTGCACAAAAGACACTTCTGAGTCCTCTCAGCTTCTAGCCATGGTTATGCTGTTCCCATAAAGGTGCAGAATTTCATGTTACAGTAAAAACTGAGCCCACTTTGAGTAAAAAAAAGAAAAAAAAGAAATACATTTAATTACATCAATATTAAATTCCGGTAATACCTGTTTTCTCCAGACACCTGATTCAGCCTCTCAGCCGCCCTCGCTGTTGGAGAAGTCTGAGGAGGTTGCAGTTTCTCAGACAGCAGCAAAGGACAAGCCCTCAGAGCAGGAGAAACCAGTGGCGAAAACCCCCGAGCCACTCCCAGCATCACCATCGACGGAGAGCAAAGAAAGTAAAAAGCCCGCTGGAGCAGTCAGCCTCTTTGGAGGCATTAATGTTCTTGCCAACAAACAGACAAAGAGCCCATTGGATGATGCAGACCAAGATGACATCTTCCTCTCTAAGGACAGCCCACCACCATTTGTAAAGAAGGAGGAGAAGAAGGAAGAGAAAGTCAAAACAAACACTGTTAGTCTGTTTGATGATGAGGAGGAAGATGAATCTGATTGGAATGAGCCAATATTCACGCCCAGTAAACCCACAACAAAAACGACACTAAAGGTTTGTCTGCTTTACAGTAAACCTAAGACTGGAGTGAATCTTTGACTTAACTGCATCACTATCATGTTTCTCATGCAATCCCAGTCTTAAAATACGCGTGGCTGTATTTTATTTTACAGCCCGCAGAGGAGCGACCGCAGGCGAAGAGCACAGGTGTGTTCCAGGACGAAGAGCTGCTGTTCAGTCAGACGCAGCAGAAGGACAATGACCCAGATGTTGACCTGTTTGCCACCTCAGGGAAAGCTACAGTCAGTGTATTAGATAATCGTATCTGTGTGCAAGTCTGTTTCTGTTCTTTCTGAAAACAACCTGTTTTACTCAGTTCACATGCTGAGTTTTAAATCCAGATGTATTTCACTAGATTCTAAAGATGCATCAATATGTTTATTTCTAGAGCTCCAAGATCAGCTCAGTGAAGCCTGCTGCACAAAGCCTATTTGCAGATGATGATGAAGATGACCTCTTCAGCTCCGTCAAGCCAAAAGCTCCTCCTCCGGTAGCAATTTAGATTTTTTTCTTGTGATTAGAATAAGGCTGGATTCCTGCTTGTTTAGATCTAAATATTTCTTTAGAAAACAACATCACTGTATAAATAGTCCCTGAACTAAACCCCTCTTTCATATTGATTTTCAGAAAGTAGCAGAGAAACCCAGTAAACCAAATGACAGAGCACCACTGGCCAGTCCAGAACCTGTATCTGAGACTCAGGTGAGTCTACTGCAAGCCTGTACTTATAGCTTCAGTGTCACCATATTATGTTTCTGAGCCATGAATACACATACTTCGGTGGCTAGGTTTTTTTATTTTATTTTATGAGGATGATTGTTGGTTGTATTAACAGTTCTTTATACTTTTTAATAAGTTGTGAGAGACACATCTACCTTGTAGTTTGCCTTTTGAAAGATTGTGTTGTTTCTAGATGAACGCCATAATTGCTTTCTTTGGATAAAATTCTGATCTTACTGTAATCTGACCACACAGAAACCAGCACCAAGCCCTGTAAAACCTAAAGATTCCTCATCAAGGATTGGGAAACTTCAAGTAATACTTTTGTTTTTACTAAATCAAAAGTCTTCATTCCTGACATTTCACTCTAAATCTTTCTAAGGAAAGACTATCCTACTCCCACTGACATTTTTTCTCTGTACGGTTTTCCTCTATCTCGATTTTTTATTTTTTTTCATATTCCAACTTCAAAACTTGGCTGTGATACGACGGCAAAACTTTTAGAATGAAGATAATTCTCTCTTTATTTCGCTAAACTAGAAGAACTTGCTCACTCTTTCGTGCAGTTTCACTAGTTGTTACTCACCCATCTTGCTCTTGCCTCATTTCCATCCACAGTCCTGGATTCTCATGTTATTCTGACTGATGTGCTGAGAAACTTCATGAATATAGAGTAGCTGAGAATGAATATTGATAAATGATTCTGTTGTGTTTTTATGTTCAGGCTAGTCTGATGATCAACCCTGCTGCGTTGCTCCCTGGCGCCGCATCCAACATGCCGGGGGCTGTAAGCGTGCTCCCCGGCATGACTGCTAGTTCCTCCTCTGGGGTGTCCAGCTCCAGCCTGAGTCCCAGCCCTGTCACGACACCTGTCGGCGCCCCGGCACACATTGAGGGAGCAGTGACCTTTGATGACCCCGTCCAGGTTACGACACTGCAGAGCGCACACAAGGTGGGCTTTTGATGCTTGGGTTGTTAAATTCTTATCTAGAAGTCTTTTTGTTGGATTTCTGAGGGGATATTGTCAAATCTTCTGTCATGCAGAATCGTGCCAGAGGTTCTGCACAGCGGAGACCCCAGTCCAGAGCAGCGAGGCAGCAAGCAGCCCAAAGATCTACTGGGGATATAGAAGATACCCAAGGTGGAGATGCTCCAGACTCAAACCCCAGTCCCTCTGGTTTAGTCTTGCCTCCACCAGATAAGTCCAGCCATACGCACATCAGTCCATCACTACCTAACTCAGCTACACCTACAGCCCTGCCCGCTTCCTCCTCTTCTCAGCCTTTACCATCACAAGTCCCCCCGAGACCTTCTGAACTGACACTGCCAGTATCGACCAATGCGGGAAAGAAAGACTCGAGTAAAGAAAGCGGCAATAACAAAGTGCTGCCATCTTCTGATGACGACGATCTTTTCAGCTCTGACAGTCTGTTTGGGGCAACTTCAATCACTAACACGCCCTCCAGCAGACAAACTACCAAGACCACACATCCTCAGGCCAGTAGCGGAGTGGGACTGAAGAAAGACAAAGATAAAAGCACACTCCCATCTATTTTTGATGACAACACGGACGACCTTTTCCAAAAGGTTAAGCCAAAGTCAACCACTAAGAAAGCCAAGGCCTCCACCTTTTTGGAAGAGGATGATGATGATGAGGATATCTTTGGGCTGAGCAACAGCTCCACTCCAACATCCACAAGTAGTAAAGAAATCAAGAACAGCAGTAGTTTTACAAAGCAGGACATTTTTCAGGTACATCTATTTTATATTTATGGCAGTACAGTCGAGGTTTATCAGTGCCATCATGAGAATATGTTTTCTGATCGGCTGATTTTCTTTGTTCTCAGGATGAAGTAGCCACTGTGCCTAAAGTTCACAAAAAGCACAAAGAGAAGACCATTGATGCCAGCTTGTTTGATGACAACATAGACATTTTTGCTGACCTGACAGACACTTTAAAACCAAAACACAAGTCCAAGACAAAGGGAGAGACCAAGTCAATTTTCGATGATGACATGGGTAAGCACCAATAAAACACATGGATATTTGTTTTGATTCTGTTTTGGTTTGTCAGCCTTTTTTTCAGCTGCCATGTTTAACCAAATATTGTGCACATCTCTCTGTTTTTTTAAAGATGACATCTTCTCACCAAGCACAGTAAAACCAGTGGCAAAGGCTCCCCAAAAATCAAAGAAAGCCCCGCCACCCCAGGAGACCAGTGCAGCAGCGGATTCAAGTGACATATTTGATGATCCACTTAATGCTTTGGGCGGGAACTGAACTGTAGTTTTTGATTAGCCAGATTTGTACAATTGTGGATTCATTCTTTTGTCATTTGGCTCCCTGAAAGATATCGGATACACTGTTGATAGAGTATTTATTCATAGAAATTCATATAAATACTGTGGCTTATTTTTGGCAGATGAAGACCCAGATAAAATTACCCCAGTCATCTTCCAACAGCATTTCCAAAATCATCTTAGCATCATAGTTATTATAATACTGTTAGTCTTTATTATACATGATAGCACTTTATGAGCATACCATATGCTTAGCCTCAGCCTGCAGAAATTAAACGGTAAATTGTTTTGTTTATTTTGTATCCTTTGGCTTGGCCATGTGAGATTTCATGTCTTTGGGTTTGTGCCATATCATGTTCATGAGAAATCAATGTGTTTACTTACTGTCTTAGTCCTTTTTGACAATGTTTTTATTAAGAGATTCATCCATTTCTTAACTTTGGCTGTGATGAAAAAGAAAATTCATTTTTAATAACTAAACAGAAACATATTTTATTCTATCTGAAATGTGTGATTATTTGCAGTTGACTGTCTTTCATCTGTGTTGTGTCTGTCTAGACGTAAATATTGATCGTTGTCTGATATTAGCAGGAAGTCCATTTCAAACAAAATATTATATCAGATTTTGTTACCACAACTTCAGTTCAATTTTGGGGTGATTAAGGTTCAGTGTTTTTGCTCAGGTCAGGATTATTAAAGTAAAAAGGGATTAAAGCTGCTCCCTTATTAGCTTTTAAATGAAGAACCCATTGGGTTGTTGGATATAAACACTTTTTACAGCGACATAAAGTAAACCCATGCCTAGCTGGGCCTGGAACATTGGCATTGCAGACTTTTTGTCTGAGATATAGAAATGGGACCTTTTATATTGACATATTAGAATAGGATAGAAATTAGCATATTTTTAAAACAACTTTCTGAAAGTCGATCTATTTTTAATGTATTTATTGAACTTCAAATACCAGTGTCAGTGATGTAAGGACATATTTGTTTGATTTTTAGCTTTTGATAGTACAAATATAACCACTGATGTGTGGAAAAAGTGTTTCTCTGCCAGCACACAGGATGATGTGAAAGTTTGGTAACACACACTTGGTGGTCCCGCCCACCTCACCGCTCGACAATTGGTCCCTTTGTCCTGTCAATCAATTGTAGTCATAAAGGTGTTGTTCAGCCGTCTCTGACAGGTATGGTGATGTTGCCAACCGGGGGACCACGGCGGCCGACAGTGGTCCCCAGTTCGTTCAGTAGGTAGTTTTTTACGGTGAAACGTGATGAGATGCCGCTGAGTTTTGAGCGTAACATTTCCCTCGACAGCTACGCAGGACGGACAGCTCTGAAGCCCATGGATGTAGCCTAGCTGCCTGCTAGCCAGCCACCGAGAAAGGTAGCCATTGTTTGAGTTGTTGGCTAACATGGCAACGAAAGCTAACGCTAGCAGCGTCGGATAGACGAGCTTCCCTGCGGAGATATACGCAGAAGATACTGGTAAGCGAGTTTTAACAATAAAACGCAAATGTTAACCAAGGTTTTAGACTATTGTTAAAACTGTGTAGTGTAGAAACAGCCTGTGTGACCTTTCTCTGCTAACGCTAGCCGCTGGGTTGTATTTTAACGATTCCCAACTCCATTCATCTTCGTTGTCAGGCAGCTAGCTAACCTAGTTCATGTCTTTTTACCAACCTGCTCTGTGGCTTGCTGTGTCAATCACAGTTTTTTATACGATTAAATATTGCTAAATCATGGACTGTTTCTGCGGATAGCGTCGTCTACAACTTGACAGTCTCACCGTTTTTGAGAGAATGGCTTGCTCTGGAAACCCCCAAGTCTTTAAATGGGTGCATCTCAGGCCTCATATACCAACATCACAGAGCCAACAATCACAAGACAGTTCATCTTCAGTGTTTATACTTATATGTGGGCTCCAGTGGGTATTTAACTCCCTGCCAGGCCCTTGTAACGTCTCCAGTAGAGTTAAAGATCGCAGTTTAAATGCTAATTTGGGTTTTAAGTGCCCTGGGCAGCAGCCTGTGGACAACTCCACTCCAAAACACTTAGGTCAAGATAATGTATTATTGTCATGTGTTTTCTCATCAGTCCCAAACCATGTACTATATAATAGTTGCTAAGGGAAAAATTCAATCTATATTATACTGATATTTCTGCTCCTAAGTGATAGAAGGGCATACATTCGGGAACCAAAGTGGTCAGCAGTATGTGATAGTACATTATTTCAGATGTTGAATTTGGCTTGTCTGTCTTCTTTATAATAATAATAAAACTACAATTGGTCTGAATTGCCTCTCACAGCTTTTCCTGTAAGATGTTCTCTCAGTCAAGTGACACTAGAGATGATCTGCCAAAGGCTGTGGTCAGCCGCAGGACACCTCATACCACTGCCGGGCTTATGTAACACACCTGATCTTCTTGAATTTTGGCCAGGGCCTTTAATGCTGCACTGAATGTTTTATGAGAAGGTTGCACGTGTCTGCTGCCACTGAAAACATACCCTTGTTGGAAAACAATTGCTCGGCAATTTAAAATTTACCACAACAGTTTCAGAGTACACAATGGAGGTAGAGCACACTGCTTGATTCACTGCCTCTGATAAAGACACAGCAGTGTTAAAGTCTGTTTGGCTCATGAAATGCTGTGAATTAACCAGTGTGCTCTAGCCCCCTTTTATAGTCTGGAAATTTGCTATCCTTGAACAGAGAAGCACCTGTTTTAGGTGTATTTTGCTAGAAGATGCTTGAAGAATCCTGTTTTTACAACATGTACAAAAATATTTTTGTAACTTTGGCTGTTACCAAAGTTCAAACATTAACTGACAAGTGTGAAAATAAAGTGTACTTTGCAGCAAGAGGTTAACCTGTAAAGGCTGAGTCACCTTTTGAGTTCCAGCGCTTCCACAGCCTAACTGTTGGAAGCAAATACTATACATTCAAGGCATCAAACTTAAGAGACAAGTAGTGTTTAAACTAACCAAACATGTTATCCTGTGATGCTCATGTGTTGTTTCTTGTCTCTACTCAGCTGCGGTCATCCTGCATGATGTGTGACAGTAGTGCGATCAGTGAGCAGTCCCTCTGTCCCTCGTCTTGGGCCAGCCCCCCCATTTCACCATCTTCCTAAAGTCTCTGTCCCAACCTGCCAAGATGACCGACAGGAAGGAGCCACCCTTCTTTAATGATGACAGCGTGGGAGCTTTTCAATACAAGCTCCCTTTCTATGACACTATGGAGCTCTTCATAGAGACCCTGACAGGGACCTGTTTTGAGCTGCGTGTGTTGCCGTTTGAGGCTGTCATTTCAGTCAAAGCCAAGATCCAGAGGCTGGAAGGTACAGAGTTCACTAATATGCAGTTTGCATGTTTTGGTCTGCTTTTATGGGAATTGTGTCCATATTTATCAAGCAAGGTTACTGCACTTATCGAGAAATTGAGCTGTATTGCTAGTTTTGCAAACCAGCATGACATCTCTCAAATACTGCATGTTTACATCTTGTCACACTATTTGCCAGACTGAATATACCATAAAAAAGTTGTTTGTTCAGTCTCCTGAGTTGTGCTGCTTTCTATATAACTGCTCTGTGGAGCCAGTTTTGCTACTCGTCTGTAAAGTCAAGGTTACTCTGAACTTTAGAGCTCTTAGATTTATTGTTGCTGTACAACTTGGTCGGTGTTGAGAAAGGCTATCGGGTTTCATTTGAAAGCAAAACTGTTGCCCATTGGTAATAAAGTGAATCTGGAACGATCTGTCCTAATTCAGAATTCAGTATATAAGCTTGCAACGCCTTCTGATCCAGCAGTGGGTGTTTGTTAAATGTACTGTCCCTCTGACACATTGCATTGCATTTTTATTGTTGCTCTGTTTATTTACACACAAAAAAGAAGAAATGGTGAGCTTGCTGAATCATAACACCAAACCCTCTTTATTATAATGTGTAGCTGCACTTTGGATGTGACACTAAGCTATGTAAAAGGGTCAGGCTGTTTGCTGAGTTTGTAAAAATGCAACTGCCAGATAATATCATTACCGCAACAAATCTGTGAACTCATCTGTTTGCTTACCTCCCAAGGGAGCCAGCAGAGGCACGACTAATTAATATAACAAAATCCCTTCTACAGTATTGCATATGACTGGGCTGCATGGTTTGGAATTAATTTTAATTAATGGTGTGTTGGCTCGCATTGATTAAAGTCTGATTCATTTTTTTCTTCTTTTTTTTTTAAATTTTGACCTTGGCTGTCCTGAAAGGGTGCTTTGTTGTAGATCAAGATGACCTTCCATATCTACATTCCTCCCTGGTGTTTTGCGTTTTGGTCAGAAAAGCCTCTCTGTGCTCTGTGTGTGATGAGATCTGTCAGCCAAGCCTGTGGGTTTGAGATGAAACATACCACTTTGCAATGAAGAGACCACTGCTCACTCACTAACACTGGCTCACCTCCAGCACCAGGTCACAGAGTTGACGGGCTGTGGGCACGGGGAGCTTACTGACTACGCATACACTCCATCTTGTTCTAAGCAGTAGCTCTGGAGTATTTATTAGGCTGCCATTCCTCCATTGGAGTCTTATTATTGTGGTCTCATTTCAAATAATGTTAGATACGGCGTAGACATAGTACACGTGGTGTTGGTTGGACTACTACATATCAAGTTTTGTTTATTCTTTTAATTTGTGCTATTTTACTTTTCAATGCATCTGTTCTGTGATTTGCTATTTTTCAGCAATTGCATGGTTCTGTCTTTAGGGGGCAGACATTATTCATCTTTCGCACTGGGTGGATGTTTCTGTTTCTGTTCTAAGCATTTTGCTCAGCAGATTAGTGAATTCAGCTTGTGAAATCTGAACAGGTCCTTGTCAACTTTAGTTGTTTTCTCTCCTACCCTTTCTCTGTCTGTAAAGGTATCCCTGTTGCCCAGCAGCACCTTATCTGGAACAATGTGGAGCTGGATGATGAACATTGTCTGCATGACTATGGGTAAATCTATTCCATCCGACCCTTTCTGTCCTTCAGAGCGCAGAGGCAAAATCACATAGACAGCAAGGCTTGTTAGAGGAGTTGCAGGCCATGTTTGAAAGCATACTGTGTACATTTAGAATCATTTGCAAGTGCACTTCAAAAGCATTCCTGCTGTGGTGGTGACTCACTGTTAATTCAGTTCAACATGCTGTAGATGATCCAGAGATGTGGTGCTAGCAGAGACAAGGCGACATATTTAGAGAGCTGGCCCTTCCACTCTTTTCAGTTTATGAAATGTAGTACATCACCCTGCAGTGCTCTGCTGGCTGCAGATGGTGGTATTGTTATAGATGTTTGTCACTTAATTTTCCACATGAACAGCCTCTGGTGAGATCTTGCAAGGCTCGCCTATCACACTGCAGCTCGCCTTTGAAGTTTTTGAAGCAGAGGCAAAGAGTAGGCAATGAAACATCTGCTCATATGCAACAAATGTTCCAGTGGGATTCCCAGGCCTGTAGTTAAGTTCATCTGAAAATCATCCTGCTCCTTGAAGTGCTGTTTACTGTAGATCAGAGCCTCTCCCTGCCAGTAAAGCCATTTTTATCATAAATATAAACATGTTGTTGTTTCTTTCTATCCCACAGAATTTGCATAGACTGAAATACTCAGAGGGTTGTGTTTCCTGTGATATTGAAAAGCGTTTTAATTGTTTTGGCAGCATTGCAGAGGGCTGCACTTTGAAACTGGTCTTAGCTATGAGGGGAGGTCCAATTAACACCAGGAGAGGTAAGAAATGGACCAAAGAACTTTACAGTCATGTAATAGCTGGATGTTTCTAGTCCTATGTTATATCAAATATAAAAAGGAATATTTTTAGGTAAATTCCAAAAAGTATGTTTTTCCGGCTTTAACCACAAAACCTCCTCTTCTTTTATCAGTAACCATGGAGGATCCTGTCAAAGATGTGGCTGACCTGATGGAGGGCACAAAGGATGAGGGTTGGGAGAAAAGCCTGGCTAACAAGCAGGTCACATTTGTGGTCTATCGTGAGGGTGACCAGCTAAACTTCTTCCGAGTGGTCGACAGGGGAGATGGTACCTTGACCCCTCTCTCTGAATCTCTGAGGTTAGGATATTGTTATGTCAGTTGTTTTTCGTGCAGCAGCATTGTTGTCCGTCCAAATAATCTAACTATGTACATAAATGGATTTGTTCCAAGGGTTTGCTCATGTGGGTCACTCTGAACAAGTGGCACAAATGAGAAACAAACAGGATAAATTGCATAAAATGTATAATTATGCATCCAGTAAAGATTGGAGTAGTTAATGTTGATTATTTAGTGATTAGTTGTGGACTGTGGAGCTGAGTTCATGTCCTTTTTGTGATCACCGTTGCAGTGAGCACACCCACCACACACAAAACTGCATTTTAGTTTGACACTGTTAGATTACTAATTGGATCAAATTTGACTGTCATGTTTTCCAGCGGCGGCTCGGTGTACAATGTGTTTGCAGAGGATGAGGATGGAGAGAGTTCTGCAGCTGCACAGCACAACCTAGAGAACTCCATCACGATGAACAAAATGAAGCTGCTCAAAGCCAAGATGGAGGACATGAACCTCAACAAGAAGGTGGGAAGCAACTGAGATCACCGAAATCCTAAAAATTGACTGCTTGTATAAAAACAAACATGATTTCCACACGATATTAAGTACCGAGTCTCACACCATTTATTAATTTAATGAAAATGTCTCTTAAATGAAGACACATTTTATTACAAACAGCCATCAAACCCGGTATGTGAAAGTAAATTTATCGACCTCAATAACAGCCCTGCACTGTCCAGTAGAGATACTTAATCATTTTGTCCTAAAACCATCATCAGATCGAATGCCTCAGATCTACTACTTGCATCAGCCCAGTGTGTGTGCGAAGCTTTTCTTTCTTAGGATTTGATGTTTTCTGGCTCCTTGTAACTTAGCATTCTGAATGCTGTGATCTTCTTAAATGTATTTTTAGCTGTAAAGACAGGAAACAAAATGATATTTTAAATTGTCATCACATACACTCCTGCTTATCTTAACTGAAAATGGTAGTCTGCAATCATTTTGCATAATGTAGACATACTGTACCAAACACTAATTTACATGTGTTTGTAAGAGGATGGGGCTTTTTTATTACATTAAACCCTACTGACTCTGTAATGTTTTTTTACATAATTATTTTTATACAAGCAGCTTCAATATAGTGGTGAGAGAACCACTATGATATAATCATAGTGGTTCTCTCACCACTATTATACAATCATGGTGGTTCTGTCACCACTACAGAACCACCATGATTGTGTAATTTTACAGGATTATGAAATGAAAAATAATGAAAATGTACACTACATTTTATAAGGTCGTCTACTATACTTTGACTGTCCTTGTCTCTGTCCTCCAGAAGTCGGCAAAGATAAAACCACGGGCCCCTGTCAGTCCACATCCCTGCAGTGGCTCTCTCGGGCCTTCCAGCACACGACACCACCATCGCCTCCTTCGCTCGCTCCCACAGATCGGCCAGCATCGGCAGTCAAATGCGCCTCTACCTCCAATTGCAGACCATGAATCCGTAGACCCCACCTTGCCCTCTGCTGCTGCGACCTCTGCCCACTTTTCCATCCCTAGACGGCCGCCTCCCTCTTTCTCGTCTCCCTCTTGTTACATGCTTCAGGAGGAGGAACCATGGGAGACATGCCCACCATTTGCAAAGATTCGCCCCCCTCCCAAAGTGTCCCGGTTGGACATTGGCAGCACCAGGCTAATGAGGGACTGTGTGTACCCTCAGCTCCCTCCACTGTGTACCAGACGGCCACCTGAAGCTGCCTTTGACCCAGTTGAGCCCACAGGGGAGACTGTTGGGCTGGGTTTGTTAGAGGAAGCTGTTGGACTGGTGGCACCAACACAACCGGGTGCTCCGTTTGGGGAACTGTTAGACCCTTTGAGTCTGGATGTGTCCACCCAGCCAGAGGGAGGCCGTCAGTCCCTTGAGGTTGGGCCTCAGCACCAGCTGCCACACTCTCCCACCCCACTTAGTCCCTGGACACTTGGGACCAGTGATACTCTCACCAGCAGAGCTGATGGCACACAGCTTGGCACATCATTTCACATCAGCCCTCCCTCTGCATTACCTTCCTCCACTTCAACCAGACTTCTGTCTCAGCCTTTTGATTCCACGGTCTCCTGTTTACAGCCTAACCTTCAAGCACAATCCTCAGTGAAGCCAGGCAACATATCTCCACACCCCTCGACCAGCTTGGCAACTCTTCCACCTCGCCTTCGTGGTGTTAAAGTAGAGTCACCTGGCAAGAGACCAGAGCTCATCTCCAAAAGAGAAGCAAGAGGCATCACCAAGATGGCAAACCAAGCCTGTAAGGAGCCACTGGGGTCTCTCAACAACTCGGAGCTCTTGGCTTCTCTCTCCACAAGGGCTCCAGACAGCAGCAGCAGCCGCAGCAGCAGCAGCAGGGACAACCTTGGAGAGAGTCTGGGACTTGCATTGGCATTGCCTCCTGCCACTGCCTCAGGACAGGGCAGCCTTGGCCCCAGGCTGCCATCCATCCCTACTAACAGGCTCCTTCAGGATGATCTCATTAGACAAATGTCACCGTTGCACCGAGCAGCAGCCTCTTACATGGTGAGCACATATAAGCGTCAGTGGTAGCTGCTAAGACTGTTTTTAATGTTCAGTTTGTGGTTCGCTCTTCAAAGAATTTGAAGTGTTTTGAAATCTTGGTCTTTCAATAATGTCTTCTATTAGCTGTTTTCATTTAAGTCTGAGTAATGGTGACTGCTGTTATCTCGGCTCAATCCACAAAGTGAGCAGATGCTTGAATTTAAAGTGGAGATGTGAAATTCTTTTCACTTGAATTGTCACAGTAGTAGATATGATCAACTAAATTAAATTGCGTGGTTTCCATCAGCTTTATCACACTGATGTAGTTTCTTTTTATTAGATCGAAATTAGATTTTCAAAAACTTTATCAAGTGTTCCAGAAGCCATGCTGTGACACATTTCACAAGATCCCTGTTCAATTATGTAGAAAGACATATCAGACTATCATGATGTCCTGAGTTTTGTCACAGATGAGGGAATAATGATGTCCCCAAGCCATAAAGCAAAGCACACAATATTAATTACCACACATTAGGCCTGTGTTTAAACATTATGCTAACATGCTCCTCAGAAGAACAGATACCTCGTCCTTCTGCATAAACAGTAACATGTGTAAAGTACTAAACTTTGGTGAATGTGTTAGGTTCAGTCCCAGTGAAGATACTCTACATACTTTCTACTTTCAAGACTTTTCAGTATTGCAGTTTTATTTGGATTTGCTCTAAAAAATATTTCATTTCTTTCTCAGACCACCAACACTCTTGCATCAGCTGGGGGAGTCGTGACTTCATTCGGGACAATAGGTAAGAGAAGCACATCGAGTCGTAGCACATAAAGATTGTTGCATCGTGGCGGTTTGCGTAGACTATTTAGCTGCAGACTTTGCAGTGTTATATTTTCAAAATCGAGGCACACATGATAATCAGAGTCCTTTAAAGCCTTCAGTGCATGTTGTATGAGTGCTACAGCAAAGCACCACAAGGGTGTTAAATATTCATTATGTCTACATCTGCAGGAGCAGCACAAACAACAGAACGGCAGCTCTAGACCTCAGCGTGCTCTCTTATTTTTACTGCCCACAAATATGCTTAGTCTGTTTATAGAGAATATGGATCAATACACCAAGTAGTGAGTCAGGATTCTCAATTTTCCTTTATTACTGGGCATTTGTTTATCAGTATCTCAGTGTCTGTGTTTTGTGCAGGCTGAGCATTTATTGGTCGTGTTCAAACTCGATTCAATCAACATCGAACAACCCAACTAATGATTGAACATGAATGACTTTTCCGTTAGTCTCTAATTTCAAAACTCCATTTTCACTCAAGAGAATTTTGGGGAAAAAATATGCAACACATTCAAAAAAAGCTCTTTAAAAAGCACTAATCCAGTCCACAAGCCCATTTTTTTTAGTTTGTTTTTCTGTTTCTGATGGAAATCATGAAGTCTGTTTTTATTAAAAATAAATCATCTACAGCTTTTTGCCTTCTTGGGTCTGACTCAGTCTCACTAATTCCAGCATGGAGATGTCAGACTTGAATCCACTTTGTTTTTGTCCTGCCTATGTTGTTGTAGTTGTACTGAAAAGTGCGTCATCTCCTACACTGTAAGATTGTGTACTCTGGACTATATCTGTGGTTTCTCATCTTCCTCTTCAGTCTAATAAGACACATCTTCAGAACTTTGAGGTTTTACTTCCCTATGTGACTGCAGTGCTTCGCACTCAGCTCAAAGGGCTCATTTGTTGTATCGCCAGAGTAAACAGTCTTTTTCCTCATATTCTGAGCACCTTAAGGCAAACATTTTACAAACTGATTTAAGTGTCTTTCTCGACAAACAAAATTCTATGGAATCCGAATGAAAGGTAGCTATACTTTTTTAGGTTTTGGTTTTATTGTGTAGAAATGTTTCTCACTTTGTAATGCATTCTTAACGTGGGTGTCCCAAATTTGTTGGTAATTATTGATGAAATAAAAACACTACACAAAGTTTCCAAAAATGAGTGAATGATTAGATGATATTTACTTTTCCTTTAAAAGAAAACTAGCTTTCCCTTTTGCTGTCGTGCAGTGGCATTATTAGTATCATTTTTTCCATTAAACTTGGAAGAGATCTGGTATGTATTTTGGATTTATTGTTCATAGAAACCCATTGAGCTCCAGTTACACTGACTTTCACAGACATTTTCCTGTGCTTTATTAAAACAATGGGACCTTTCTCTCTGTTTCTGTATCGACTGAACCGCAACACAAACAAAGTGAGCTGTTTCAATGAAGATATCAACAGTGACAAATGAAACAAACTGCAATACCCTCTCCCTCGGTGCACCATTAAATGACTCACTTAAGGATTAGCAGCTAAGGAAACTTGATTGGGGCAGCTCTTAATTGAGTGTTATCAAATTCAGATCATTTGTTCTGTTAAACAGATATTGATAAATGTGCTTGGGGATAACTTTAGTTGAACCCAGTTTTACTTATATTGAACCAAATCATAACTTTACATAGAAAAGTCAAGACCCTAAAGTGGATTGGATTGTGGGATTTCTTTGGGTTTCTCTCTAGTATTTCTTGTCTGTATGGCAGCAGACATACAGCAGGAAGTACACATTTAATCCAACACTCGCCCCTCTTCACAGAAAAACATAATTGGTTTTCAGAAATCACATCAATACATCTAATTTACCTGACATTAGTTACTTTACAATGCACATGTTATTCTTAAGCAAGCTTGAAATTGCTCATCAAGACTAACATGGAAACTTTAGATAACAAGAATGTGACAGTTTGAAGAAGTTTTTTTTTCTTCTTTCCCCTGAATATCAGGTGACACTATGCAGACATGTTTCCTGATATGCAAAGACTCAGTGCTCAGCGGAATTGCAATGAAATGGTCGACTGAAAGCAAAGACTTGTAGAGACTGAGCTTGCAGAAAAGCACAGTGAAACTAAAATAGCAGATTGTATTTCTGGTTGCTCTCCAGCTGGTGATGTCACAACAGGTGTTTTGCCTTGTGACCATATGCCTGAATGCACCGACCAGAGAGAAGTGCTCTTTTCCTACTTTTCATGACTCTTGTGTTGATCTAATCTTTCATAGCCTCCTGATTGCAGTGATAAATCTACCTTGAGCAAATATGTATGTCTGATGTTAAATAAGTGCAAATAAAGGCAAAAGGCTGCGTCAGAATGTAGAAGAAGTAAAATGTTCCTGACATCACCAGTTGGGCAGAAATACTTGAAATGGTACCATTAAAAGGAAGAGGGCCAAGTGAAATGATGCAGAGTTATCCTGACTCTTTTTACTTTACAATCATTCAACATTGGTTCCTGTTGAGAATTACAAAAAAAACAATGTCTCCTCTTTTCTCAGGCACTCCAACATACCACCTACCTCCAGTCAAGGCTCCCACAGGCACCAAGAAGAAGAGTTCAAAGCACTGCTTCCTGTGTGGCAAGAAGACTGGTCTGGCCACCAGCTATGAATGCAGGTATAAGTGCCTCCAGCGTTTCCACCTGCCCTCAATCACTCACACACTTGCTGCCTGACTCTAAATCAGTTCTCCCCCTTTTTGTCAGTCTTATCCTTGAAACAAGCCTTTTAGTACAAAGTGGTCTTTGCCCGGTTCATCCATTTTGTCTTTCTGCCACATCTTCAATGAAGACACATCCCTGCTCACGGCTTGTTCTGCCACAAGTTATTAGCTTCATCAAAGTTTCTCCCCACGACATCACTGGATCACTTCCCCCTCTCGGGTCTTGTCCAGGGCGTGCACACTGAATCTGATGCAACAGGATGCAACTCTAATCTCCCAACATCGGCCACTTGAAGTGGTTGAGCTCCCTACTGTGTTCAAAGCAATGTTGCCAGTTTAGTCAAATTGTAAACCTCTGTGATTAAGCGAGTAATTGAATTTACTCAGTACGAGTGCTGATAAATGACATTAGAGATTTAAAGCAGTGTTGCTGTTTTACTAATGGCCTAGTAAGAGCTGAAAATTCAAGTACACTGAAGAGGTATTTAATTACTATTTAGTATGAGGAAAACTGTATTATGAAGGTGAATGATTTCATTTGCCGACTCTAAAGCCTCAAGAAGGTTCTGCTATGTAGTATCACTTCTGTAACATCTTTTGTGTCCACGCTGAAACATCTGTCTGTTTCAACCTTTCAGGTGTGGCCACAACTTCTGCGCGACCCACCGCTACGCAGAGACTCACGACTGCACTTACGATTACAAGAGTGCTGGACGACGATTTCTGCAAGAGACCAACCCGCTGATCAGTGCTCCCAAGCTGCCTAAGATCTAGAACCTGGACCCGACCGAAGACCAAGAAGTCAAACTGACCCCAACAGTCTGCAAAGACATTTCTAGTAAGAAGAGGAAACTTATAACACCACTGTGTGCTTTTTTTTTTTTTTTTTTTTAATCAGCCAAGTTTGCTTAAAATTGAAATAAAACATTCTGTAAAGCCAAGTGTGAACAAAGACCAGTGGACTGAAATGGCACAGAACTAATTATCACCTCTTGACAATGTGAAAATGTTTATCCTTTTTAATCTATTACCTTTATTCTTTTTTCCATTGCGTAAAAAAACAAAACAAAAAAACCTGTGCATGTATGTAGGTAGTTTTTTGCTAAATATATCTGCTGCACGTTCAGACATATCTATTTTAGTTTTGACATCTTCTTTGTTTTTTTAATAGGACCGCTAATGACTTCATTTGACAAGTCTTTGACAGATGCACTTTAGAACTATCATATTTATACATTTGATTTTCCTTGTTGTGGGGGGCGGGTGGGCGGGGGGGGAAGCTGCATACATTTCTGTGTTTGTCTTACAAAGTGTTTATGTTGTTGTTATCCAGATTTTTATATTCTGCACATCTAAATGTCTTTCTTACGTGGGCACATACATACCGACATCACTAATGACATTTTTCTTAAAAGAGAACAGTACATCCACTTATTGATGAAATACTTAATATTTATTAATGAATACTACTTATTTAAATTAAAGGTTGGTTTTGAAATAGCAGGTATGCAATGTGTGTAGGTGTGAATGTCAAGTAATCCGTATGACTATCGAGTAAACTGTATTAGGACTGTGGGGTGGGGTTGGTTATGGTATTTATGGTGTGTTTCCAGTAAGGTGGTTGCCATAAAAAAAATAATAAAAAATCTTTTGTAAGTCTTTTTTTTATTGCTCAGCTGTTGCAAAAACTTTAAATGCTGTTAAAGTATCTACAGGGGTTTGATCTAATAAAGTTTCTTTCAATACATGTTGTACGCCACTGATGTGTGTGTCAGCGCTGATTGTTTTTGAATTCATGCTGATTCCACCTTCTTACACGAGGTTCTTTAATAACTTCTTTTTTAAGTTTCCTGCAGTGTCTTCGAGGCTCGCCGTTTCATCTCCTCATTTGCGCATTCAAAATGTGACCTTTGCTACTTATCACTCCTAATAGTTCTCATCACATTGCTGTGAAGTAAAAAAGGAAATGGTTTCTCTTTGGTATTATTCGCTCGTTATTGTCACATTAAATACCCTCTCCTCCTGACTCAGGCCCTCAGCTAGTTCCTTAGCAACAAGCTGAACATTGTTTTTGAACCTGTTGAACATTAGAACTCCCACTTTCATAATTCTCGCCAAAATTAGTACAAACGTAGCCGAGGATCACATCCTGTTAAGTCTTTCTTCTTTAACACTATGTCACCTTCTCGGGAAAGCGACTAATCTGTCTACTATTTGCTAATTTCTTTTTATCGCTGGGGTGTGTGCGAATTGCCGCAGCAAGGTAACGCTCCTGATTAAAAAGCAACACCAGCCATTGTGTGAATTGGCAATTTGCCTCAGAGTTTGGTGTGTAGGTTTATGTGTAAATCATGAATGACAAATGTGAGATTTCACTTAAAGAAAACAAAAAGCTCTTACAATACCTGCAGGATCAGGTTCCGATATCACGTCCCGGGAGAATCCCAAAAAGGTCCTTCTGCCACGAGTTCACATTTTCAAATGTTTAGTCTTTTATAATATTCTCAGAGAGAGCACTCGAAAGCTGTAGTCTGTTTATAAGCACACGTCCAAACTACAAATTAATCATGGAGAGCGGAGCGCCGATAATGTATCAATCAGTCAAAATGAGAACACTTTGTAATCAAAAACACACAAATATGATGTTTTTCTTTGCTTGTGAGTCACTGAGTGGAGATGCTTGAATGAAAAGTGGGGGCACAGCTTATTATTCACTTTCCTTTTGCTGGGGAGGCTGTTCCTGTGCAACAGACAAACCCTGACCTGAGTCACGTCTCAATGTTTTTTATCCTCACTTTCCTCCTTCATGTTGTCTGGCTTTGATCCACTATAATTGGGCTGTGCAGCATATACTGCTGAATCCCTGCCTATTCTCTCTTGGCAGATAAATGCACTTCAACATGGAGAGGGGCAGCTCTCTTTTTTCTCTTTTTATTATTATTTTTTTGAAAAAGAATAGACTTTATAGCATCTCTAGTTGAATTTCTAAAATAATACATCATGTTGATTTCATTTCAGACTCACCAGTGCGGCAGCAGCAGGAGCTGGTAGCTTATCAACAGCAGTGGATGTTACAAATGAAAATCCAGTTTTCAAAATATTAAACACATACAACTCTGACCATTCTATGTCCTCTCATATATACAGATGTAAATCAGTCTGCCTAAGCTGTTGGTGCTTACTACGAATTATAAAATATGAATATACAAATTTGGTAAACACAGTGATCGTGTTAGCTACTATACATGCTGAACACAGGTACGTACCTTTTAATTTAAACACTGTGAAGCTTCACAGACCTCCTGGCATCACAGTGAATTATTTTCTTTTGATTATAGGAAGGTAATAAATCAAATTGTGGCATTAATGTCGTGTAACCTTTACTAAAAATGTGAGATGTTTGGGGGGTTGAGCGCTACATAAAAAGCCCAATTATGTGTGATAGCTGCTGGTGATCTGGGGGCTTAACATTTGCCCAAGTGAAGGAATGACTGACCTGAAATAGTGACTTTTATGGCCCATTGTGCCACAACACGCAGGAAAACAGAAGACACAAATTTCTGTGCCGCCCCAGAGGGAACACTGGGAGTGCTACTTAAGTTAGGAAGATTACGGGTTCAATCCTAAATGAGGGTATAAAGGAGACCATAAATTTTTAACAAAGCCTGCAATACAACCCAGGGCGCTGAGTTTAAAAGATGAGGATATTTATAGGTCAACTCAGCTTCTGCTGCATCAGGTTTGGCCAGTTTCTTTTTTCTTTGAAAACCTGTATCCTATGAGCCCCCCGACCCTATGAAAGTGCAAAGCTAAGTCACTGCGGTACATTTTTAAGAGTGGGTTTCTATTCATTCCAGTAACAGAGTGTACCTTTTGGGATCTGTACAGGTTTTGTCTGAGTATTTGATTCGGATCCCTTCAGCTGTTCCTGTGCAGTGTATCACAAAAACACACCAACCAAATGCCTATTTTCTGCTTTCTGTTTCAGGATTGCTCAGCCTGCCTTTTGCAAGTCTGCCAAGTGCTGCAAGTATATATTTTGCACAGACTGAAAAACAATGATTTTTTCTCTCTCTCTCTCCTTTTATAAACATGGCTTTCAGAAGAAGAAGAAGAAATGTTGCTCAGTCAGAGTGAAAGTGGTCTTATTCAGGACTAAAATATGTACAGATCTGGAAAGGATTGTTTGAAAAATCTACGGTTGCTGATTGGCCCTTTATTAGTAATCCAATAGGGCAGTCAAACTGAGCAAATTAGTTTTATCTCTATATTTTCTAAATTCAATAGTCAGCTCTGTGTTCTGCTTAAGCACACACATTGTGGTTAGAAAAACAGACTCTGAACTTTGCTAATGAGGAACAAACAATCACAAGTTGAAACCAATGAACGGAAATGTGACAAACATGAAGCATGCACAGTTCAAAGACGATACAACCGACTACGATTCACGTGTCTACAAGAATTTTAGCGTTTGTTCCGAATGTGACCGAACAAAAACAACATACCAACCTTGTTACGACCTGGCTCAAGATGGCCGCAACAAAAGGAGAGACACACCAAGTTTCAAAAATTAAAGCTTGTCTTTATTCACTTAAATGATACCCAATTAAAAACCAGACCAGTACGGGGTTGAGGGAGTACACAGAGTCAGTGGTGTGTGTGTGTGTGTGTGATGTATGCATGAATTATGTGTGTGCAAGTGTTGTAAATGCAAACGTCCTCAACAAACTAACCCATAACCAGACCAGTGTGTTACCTGTGGAGGGAAGCAGAGTAGACAAAGATTAGACTGCAGTCAGCCCTTAAGTAACCCAGGAACACACTGGGTGTCACAGGTGCTCCTGGTTACCTCAAACAGCCACTCACAGAACCAACAGATGAACTCGAACCACCCACAAGATGACCTCAGGGGTCATCACAACCTTCTGTGTTGTCCTGAAAGTACATCAGTACCTGAATGAATGTGACAACTGCTGACTCACGTTTCCACAGAACTCGAAGAGTCAAAACACGAGACAATCAAGCACAACCAGTCCGATGGGTTCAAGTAAGTACACAGAAAAGACCGGAAGTATTTGAACACTTTGAAAACGTGATATCATGTCGCCGCCCTCGCTTCCAATCCCACCTACCGACAGGCCCACCGACCTGCCAGGATGAACTCCTCTTTGTCCACCTGTCTGCTCCCTTTTCGTTTGTCGTCCTTTTACCACTTTTTCTTGTCTCCTCTCTGAATCTCTTTCAGTTTCTCGATGAATCTCTTTCAGTTTGTGCTTTCTTGAGAAGCCTGTTTTTGACTTTATGGGACTTGGCATGTCAAGCTCCTGCTATTACACAACCCAGTCCTCCCAGTTGAACACACGCCCTGTTCTAATCTGTTACAGGAAAAATTATAGACGTTTGTTGATCGGGTTGAGCACGCCCATTGAACATATATCACTCTTTCGGTGGTTTCCTTCTGTTGTAATGAGCAACATTTGAATTTCTTAAGTCCTTTGAATGTGGCAATTTTTTTTTTTTAGTATCAATATGACAGCTGTTCTTCACTTGCCTGCCTCCGTGCACAAAAAAAAACAACAACACAAAAGCCATGTCCTAATCCTTTCCATGCCACGCAACAAGACAGCCTGTATCTCTCTGACACAGAGACACATGCATGACAATTCGGCAGACTCACTTCTGAGGTGCCCACTTTGTCCAGACAGAGCACAGAGGCTCCGTTGTCCCAGCCCAAGGACGGAGTGGCGGACTGTGCATCAGTAATAAGCCCAAACACAATGACAGGTTTCACAGAGATAGAGCCGAGGCTTTGAGTCAACAGAGGATACATTCCCTTCTTTAATAAGTCAGCCTCTCCTAACATACTGCGCTGCGAGCGAGGGGCTCCCTTGGTGTGGAGTTACTGGACATGCTGTGATTCACTTGAGTTCGGGAGAGTGACACTGCAACACACTGCAGGCCATTCATAACCGGAAATAGAGACCACTGTACTGAATATTAAAAGAGTCCGACAAACTATAGCTTCTTCCCTGGAACGAGTTTTCTATTGGCTCAAAACAAATCTGTACAATTTTAAAATAAGAAATGATGTATAGTAGAAAAAGAATGAATGGACGGCGTCTTTTTTTAAAGAACTATTTTGCAAAATATGCTTTGTCTTTTTCTGTCTGAGAGTCAGATAAAAAGATTGACATCTCTCTCATATCTGCCAATACATAAAGCAAGACTAGATCCGGCATCTATTTAACGTAGCTTAGCATAAGGCAGGAGACAGGAAGAAACAACCGATCAGACTCGGTGCGTAAAGCTGCCAAATCCACATACCAGCACGTGCAAGACTCAGACAGTAACATGTGACGCGATGGGATTTTTTTAATCTGTCCAAAAACCCACGATGACAGCCAGGTATGAGCTGAACTCTTGCTTTGCCAGGACAAGCAACTTCCTTGAGTCTTCGCTGGTTGCCTGGCAACTGTTCAGAGTTAAGAAAATGTCTTACGCTTAACTCCACGGAAAACAGAGAACTGTTGATTTTGTGCTTGGTTTTTTGAAAAGACAAACGTGATGTAACAGGGTGATTACTGAGCTTTGGATGTTCTGGGAGGCAGATTTGGCTACCTCTGGATGGAGCCAGGCTAACAGTTTCCAGGCTCTGAGCTAAGCCGCGCTAAATAGCTGCAGCTTCACACTTAATGGGCAGGTATGAGAGCGATATCATCCCTCCTATTTAACTTGGAGAATATTCGTACTTGAATCATAACTAAAGCTTCATAATCTGGGTCTGCGGCCACTCAGGAGGTACAAGCTGCCTGAGTCATTTTATTCCCACCTGATGAATAAGTCCAGGAGTCTCTTTGTGAATGTATCATCCAGATCAAGCTGATGTGAGACATCAGAGTCCTGAGGCCAACATGACACGTCTGATTTACCTGTGAAGAAGGTGCTAGAAAGCAGCGGCAAAACGGCTGATTAATTTATTTCCTCTTTACAAAGGTCCACTGGGAGAGTGAGAGTAGAGAAGTGTGGAGCTGTACTGCATTTTCATGATTTCTTTTTTTGGTTATTGAAATATTTTATTTCACATCCACAACAGCAGTAAGACTTATTCCAGCTAAAACCTTGCAGGAGCTGCAATTCATAATAAACGGTATAATAACAATAATATCAGTGTCGTTTGCATTATTACTTTTCTCAATAGCTTGTGCAATATCAGTTTTAGTATCATGTGTAATATTTCATTATTATGTGCAATATTGCTTTACTACCTCAGAATCGTTTCCAGTATTACTTCTTGCTTTTCTAGTCTAGTCTCTTTGTGGACTACTTATTTTTATTTCAAGTAATGTATCATACTTTTGCCTTATTGCTTTTCTGCGAGGCATTTATTCTAAGGTTATGCAGTTTCTTTTTCTGAGCAATCTGGCACGAGATATCCCTTGAATTAATAAAGTTTTATGTCATCTTATCTTTCTTTAATTTTCTTTTTTGGAGTCCTTTAGAGTTTGTAAATGAGCAGTACAAGTTATACAAACTACAGGAGGACTACAAGATTTTTTCTTAATGAAATAGAGCAAGAAGCGCTGGTCTCTCTTCATTGAAAAGACATGTTTTGCATTTTACTGTACTTTGACGTACTCCTTTAGCAGTTAAGTAGTTTGGAAGTGCTATTCTATTTAAGGGTTGACAGTAAAATAAGGTAACCCCAGCCGACAAATATGGCAGCCCATGTATACTGAAATAAAATATGAACACAGCATGACATATATTATTAAATCCTATGCATTCTTTTTGACATTGTAAAGTCCCTAACACTGACGTCTACGCACACAGCACAGACGTCATGAAGCAGCCATGTATGCATTGTATTGCAAATGATAAATGGCAGCTCCAGAGTGGAGTCACAGACCAGGAGTCCGTAACAAGTCACGCGTCTACGCTACAAAGGGTGGTGAAATTGTTGATGCTGTTTAAGGAATGTAGTCCTGCTCTTCCTGAAAGGCCAGTTGGTTAACATTTTGGGAGGAAGCATCACGTTGTCGGACACCTTCATCCATCTATATGTCATCTGTATTTTCTTTTTTTTTTAAAGATGAATTTCATGGTGGTATTTTATAGTCACTGGTCAAAAAGAAGTGTCTGTGTGCTGGTCACACTATCTGATCATTGTTCTTTAAATCCACACCTGATGAGGACGTGGATTAGTTCAAAGGTTGACAATTTGTCAGCAGGTGAATAACTCCAAAACTTTATGTGCACAATTAGGTAAATGTAAACCTTTTTTTCTAACCATAACAATAAAAGCCAGATAGTTAACGTCTCCTTTGAGTCAGAAAAAAGGCCATTTGCAAACTGTGTTTATATTTTTGTTGGGTGTCGCTGTCTCTTTGTCTTGTCGTTGGCCATAAAACCATTGGACAAGATTGAGCTCGGCCCCATCATGAACACATGCAGACTCCTGCAGGCCCAAATGAGATAAACTGGGGTTAACCATATGGACCCTATGTGGAGCCCATGAAAGAGCCACCATCAAACCATCTGAGCTAATCCATGTGGGGCCTTAATGGAAACTGAGGGCAAAATTGGCTGCAAAAAGGTGCAAACCCATTTGGGCTCCACAGTGGGTTCCTTTGAGGTCTGGTTTGCTCTCTACAATCTCGAGAAGGGTAAACTGTGGCTCCTTAGCCTTTATGCTCACCTGTCACTAAAGTAAAAGTTTAATCCTGTTCAGGACTTTTGGGGTCTTTTGGAGGCCAGGGCATATGATTTAGGTGACAGGTTTTTTTTTTTTAAAGCTGCAAACCAGAAAACCAAAACAATTCATTTAAAAGATGTTAAAATGCTTCATGGAGCTGGAAAAAAAAAGTTGGATGATAATTCTTAATGGATTTTATAAATGCAAGCACCACCTTTAACTGAGCACCTAAATAAAACATTGACTAGCGCAGCTTTAATCACATTCCATCCCATTACAGGCTCATTTCCAAGCTTCGTCCCATCACCACCTTCTTCACCCTCCTAGATCTTCATCATCACCTCCTCAGCCCGCCCGCGTGCGCCGCCTGTCCTTTAAGCCCATTATTTTTCTTTGCGTTTTTTTTTTTTTTTTTTTCCTCCAGTCCATCTTAACGCGGAAGTCGGTGACGCACCACTACACACAGCTGCTCAGCGGGGACAATGAAATAAACACAAACGTCGTCATTCGGTGCCGATCACAGCGGGTGAGTGAGCGTGTGCTTTCTTTCTTTTATTATTATTTTTTTTATTATTCTTTGTGTGTGTGTGTGCGCGTGTGCGTGTGTGTCATTAGGAATACGGAGCTACGTTTGGTCCGGTGCAGTTTTGTGCGCGTCCACACCGAGGCTCCTCCGTCTCCGCTGCGCCTCCTCTCGCTGCTTTATTAACCGGGAGGCGGCTGTCGGAGGGGGGTCGCTCGGTCGCTCGGACGTGCGTCTGGACTGTGCTGGGATGTGATAGTATGAGAATTCTTCTTTTTTTTTTTTGGTCCCCCCCAAAATTTTTTATTGCCTGCTGTAGAAGCCGACAGTCGGTTCTCTCTTCCCCCCTCTCCTCTCCTCTCCTCCTCCTCCTCCCCTCCAGCGACGGAGCCTGTTGTGATTAAAGGTATGAACAATTCAGTTTCATATTAGAGCTCTGCAGCAGAAATATGTTATTAATGGATTTATTTCTTGGTCCATTTAGTGTGAGAAGACGCAGCCTTTGTTAGTTGTGTTTTTTTATTCTTGACGCTGGTTAGAATATGATGGGACACCAGATCATGGAGATACAATTGATTGCATTTCGATTAAGCAGAGAATAATTCAGGATTATTGCTGCTGTCCTAGAATGCTGCTCTATTGCATTTCCATGCAAACACATCAACAGGGGTCATGGTGACATATATATGGAGTTTGCTGGATCAATATTGGTTTGCTCTTTACATGCCTCCCAGAGCATTTGCTACTGTATGTTTTATATCCAGTCTATGAGGCGCACTGCTCAGCCGGGTGTTGCCTTTTTTTTTTTTTCTTTGGTATTATGAACCACAATAAAGCCAGGAGGAGCGCCCTACATAGCTCTACAGGGTGCAAAACAACACCAAGTGTCTTGAGCGTGATGCCAACACAAGACTGTCGATGCAGCCTCTCCTAAATAGATTTGCACCCAATAATCACTTTATTTCGTTACGTCTGCTCTCACATTACACTCTTGTCCTGCAGGATCCCTCGGTTTGGTCTCCCTGTCACGCTGTGTGGCACATCTGCTGTACAGTCATATGTGTGTGTATGTGTGTGTGCACAGTGTGCCAAAAAAAAAGATGCACCAAAGCGCTTCACTCTGCTTTAAAGCTCTTCTGTTCGCACTTCCTCGCTGTGGATTGCCTGCTGTGGTATTTGCTTTTGTCGCTGGGAGGGCAAATCTTTCACTCATCTTCTCGTCTAAGGTAACAAGTCTTGGCTCCGTGTCAAACGGAGCTTCTCGCAGTGCCATCTGTATCATGATGCAGGATTTGCCGTGGTGCTCAGCTATTGTCGAGGGCAAGAGGAGGAAACCAGCTGCGCCTGACTGACTGTGTGTGTTACATCACTGAAGCCCTCGGTTATGTCTTTGCCAGTGTTGTGAAATACTGAAGGCTTGTTACGATAAGAAGCCTCATTGTCCCGTTGGTATCTGGAGTGTGCATGCATAAACACGCAGATAACAAAATGCTTATTTTTGCCTGTGATCCTGCCTCCTCGTATTGGATTAGCACGTATAGATTGGCTTGTTTTCCACACAAACACTGTTTAAGTTTCTGGCAGCCAAGTGTTTGAACAGTCGTGACGGACCGGCGGCCCTTTTTATGTAGGCAGGAGGTCTAATGCTGGTCTGGTGATTGAGCGGGACTCGATGAAAAATGGAATTTAGAAGCAGAAGACAAAGTGAAAAACCCCAAAAAAGGGCTGTTTTATTCATGAGCTGCTCTTAACTTGTCAAAGTTTTTAAGTTAAGTGCACAGATATTTTATGTTATTAGTTGAATTACATCAGTGAGATCAGGTTTTCAGAGCAGACTGATTTGCTCACAGTCAGGTCAGTGTTCCTTCCAAATGCATTATATCATCCATTCACATGACCACTGTATACCTACATAGAGACAGTTTGCCTCTCTGTTTCTGCACTCCTCTTCTCGGCCTGCTCTTCCTTCACGACCTGAACCCTGTGACAATGAGGGATTTTTTGCTGGTATCAACAAGCATTTCGCAGTCACGAGAAATCTCATCTATTCCTGAGCCAGAGCCACCCGAGCTGTCACCAGCCTCTGAAGTCGTCAGTCGTCCTGACAGAAGCGGCTGCGGGCGGAAAAGACAAAGTAAAGCCGCAGATAGATGATTCCAAACATGAGGTAGAGGGCGACCGAGAATGTGTCTGTTAAGCTGCGAGGGAAGGAGCTTGCAGCCTTAATGGAGTGAGCCATTGTGTGCTTGCAAATTAACTCATACTTTCCGTCGTCAGAGATAGGTTCTGAGGAAAGTAATTGGAGGGCGGAAAGAATGCAATCAAAAGTATCTGAAGGCTCTGATAGTGGCTTTCTGCCAATTAACTGCAGTCATTGTTTGACACAATTGGTTGTAATGGTGAAATGTGCCTCCCACAGTATTTTATAATATGGAACCGAGGATGCATTTGACAGCTTCTATTGTGCTGTTCTATGGCGGTTTCAATCAAATTCAATTTAACAACAGGGGAAAACATTTTGACTTGTAAAAGAGATTCAGAAAAAAAATGTGTTTTTAGTTCTGGTTCATCTACTGTAGTCCATATCTTTGCTTTGGCAAATTATTTTAACTGTACAGCAGCTGCTGTTTGTTCTCACTAAACACATACAGCCTGTTTCAAAGGTCAGACAGCGTGTTGGCTATTTGAGCTGAACATACTCATTATATTCTTTCTTTTTAGCTCTTTGGTGAAATGTTCTGTGTTCCGTAATGGGGCTGCAGGTTACAATTATTCACATAATGAAATGTGTCAGAGGGATACCCAGGTAGCCTACCTGCTAGAGAGTACACCATGTACCAAGACCAAGTTCTCACTGCTGTGACTGGGGCTTGTCATCACTCCTCTCTCCTCCACAGCCTCTCCTCAGCTAATAAAGTAGAAAAAAAAAATCCCTGAAATACAGTAATAACGGATAACCTGACAGTTATATTCTCAACTAAATGTTTGGTCTGACACTAGTGAAGAATGTCCACAACAATATCCCAATATTTTTAGATGTCAAAACATGCACTTTAGCAATTCTCTGTTTTGTCTAGTAATTGTTTCTGCAGCACCCTTTCTAAATGATGAATCAGTTTGAGAAACATTGTGCGTTACCAGTAAGTCGCTGTAATCTCCACCCCAACACTTACGCTTCCTTTTTTTTTTTTGTTGTTGCTCTATTTCCTCTACATTAACTTAACACTAATGGAGGATGTGATAATTTCGTAGACAGACACAGCACTTAGTCGTAATTTATGCCCTAAGCAAATCAGCGGCATTTTTCTTTGGTCCTACTTTATTTAAATTTGTATTTTTAATGTCATCCTCCTTCAAAATGGCACCTGCAGACTCACGCTGCATCTCTTATGTTAGCCGCTCACCCCTGTCTCCTCGCTCTCGTGGTTAATCCGTAAAATAATATTGATTGCATTCTGCGAAGAGACAGCAAATGGATCTAGGCTGCAAAAATCCGTCTTCATACGTATCCTGTTCCCTTTTACAGGAGTGTGCGTGTTACTCAGGATGTGGGTTTGTTTCCCTCGACCCTAATGACTGTTAGTGCGTCATGATAACGTTGGCGATTACCTCCCTTTGCTTGCTGGACTTTCAGTTCAGCGAGTTCTACTTCTCTTAACTCATCTTAGGTTGAACTAATTAAAAGTTTATTAACAATATTAACACCATATGGCAGCTGCAGTGGTACCACAAGGTTTCTAGTGACATGTAGACCTTGTGCAGCTGTTCCACACTGCCTATCTGATCCTGGGCTGTAATCGAAGGAAATGCGTCCCCCCGCTACTCCTGTTGTATCAACGTCTGGCCGAGCTGTAATGAAATAAGATAATAAAGGTATCATGCTGTGTCGTCGCTCTCTACTGCGCGCTAACCCAATCCCGGCCTGCCCTGCTACTGTGTCTCCCTGTGGCCGCTCTTCATCTGCAGGGAATAAGAGCATCGATCCAATCTAATGACTTCCTCCTATGGATGATGTCATACACCCCTGTGAGTTAAACCTTACCGGGGTAATGTCTGGAGTTAAAAAACACAGGCAAAAGGTCAGTGTTGATATTGATATTTCTCTCAGATCCTAAGCCGCCTTCTTCCCTCAGACTTATGGCGTGTGTGTGTGTGTGTGTGTGCAGCTGTGTGTTGCACGGGTGCAATGAAATTATAATGTCTGCGATGAAAGGAGGAGGGGGGATGCTGGACAGCTGCTATACATCAGGAGAGCAGAGGTGCTGGCTCAGCTGAATGGACCGTGGGATGACACCGCTGCAGGTTGCACGCTATGGTTGATGATGTCATTAGGGCTTTCACAGTCTCCCAGGGTTTCTGTGCGCAGATGGCGACGAACAAAGAGGAGGAAACCGTCTTGGTGGCATGAGGGCACAATAGTAATGTGTTGTGTGTTGCTGTTGCTAGACGTACTGCGTATTTGTACAAACGCCTCGATGGGTGATGGCGGAGCTGAGCAGCTGATCTCCCACACAGGTGTTGATCTGGTTTGAAATCTGCATCGAGGTGCACCAGTTTTTTGGAAATGTGTCGCTCAGTTTGTATGTAAAGCCCTTTGTACACTTTCAGGAGCTTTTCCAAAGTGATCTAAGAAATATCTTGTGGATAGTCTCTGGTTTTCTTTTAACGATTTTTATCAAACATCCAATTAATCCGAGACACCGACGGTCCCTCAACTTTTATTATTCGAATTACAGAGAGTACAGAGATCTGCATAACAGAAAATCTTTTTCCCAGCAGCCTCTTATAAACCCCTTACTTTATGCTCTTAGAGCTATACAGCAGTACAGATCAATAATTACACACAGGATATTTGATTAGTCTAATTCTAAAATATTGCTGATACATCGCTATAGGAGCTGCTAGTAAAATGCCTAATTACCCGAACCACTCGTCTGTATCAGGAAGGCCTCCACCTGCATTCTCGCTCTCTGCTCTCTCCCCTACCAGCCTCTGAAGATACAAAAAAAAACTCCTCAACACTATAAAGCTGGAACAGGCAGTATTTTTTTGGCATCATCTCGCCAAAAATTCCATAATAATCTTTCAGATGTGGTAATTCAGTGATCTGAGAGGAAAGTAGACTTCTGCACCTCCTCTTGTCTCTTTTTCTCAGGCTTTAGAAAATCCGGCCTGTGACAAGACTGTTGAGTCACAGGTATTTTCAGAGAGAGGGCGTTTCTATTGACTGTTTTACTAATGCAGGCGTGTGTGCATGTCTCTTCAGATGGTGGAAAGCCTGAATCAGTGGCAGAAAATCCTGCAGGAGAACTTGCTATTACAGCGTTGGCAACAACACTGCAACGCAACCCAAAAATAGGAAAACGAACGAGCAAGAGAGTCTTAAAGAGACTATAATTGCATTGA